AGAAACACAGACAGACGTGTATTTTTCTCAAGGCCAATTTCTATTGTCCCCTTGTTCATGGAAAGAATTGATCTGTGAAGCTCGGTGATGACTCTAAGGATCCTTCTTTTAGCTTTCTCTGCCTAAATGACTTCATACTTTCTCCCTCTACCTGCTAAATATTCAGTGTCCTCAGAAAACAAGCAAACACAAACACCTTACCTTAGTACAGCCGTGAGGGAGATGCAGCACCAAACTCTCTCCGTTAGTTTCCCTTGGTTGTCATGACAACTCGCCATGCACTGGGTGGCTGAGAACAGCAGCCGGTTATCCCACCACACGTCTACAGACCAGAGACCGGATGTCGTCGGCTCATCCGCAGGGTTATGCCCCCTCGATGGAGACGCAGCAGCTTTGTTCTGCAGAGGGCTGGCACCGTTCCCACCTCTGCTTCTTGTCTTCACATCACCTTCCCCGTGCTTGTGTGTGGCATCCTCTCTCCCTCATAGGAACAGGTATCCCTGGCCTAAAGACCACTCTAACTCCAGGATGAACGCATCTCCATGATTTAGTTACAACAGTAACCTCCCTTTCCCAAACACAGTCATGTTAACGGATTCTAGGGATTTGAACACTGACTGTCTTTTTTCTTTCTGAGCCACCACCTATGGGACAGGAGTCACGTTTCCATGGACAACATGGCTGGATGTCAGTCAGTCTTGCTGCTACAGCTGTGATGACTGACAACATTGGGTTCCCCACATGAGAAGTTTCTGGGGATGTGGAAGTTTCCATAAAAGGTCTCTAGACCCCAGGACAGGGGAGGGAGAATTCTAAACAAATCAGAATGGTTAGTGAGCCCATGGCAGAACAGAGCCTCTGTGACCGACATTCTCATGCCAAAGGTTCAGGAGTCACGGCTAACTCTGCTCTGTGTTTGAAATTTAAGGTGTGAGTTCTCAGCTGTGCTTGCTACCACGCCGGCCACTTGTTACCACGCTGACATTTTGTTATCATGAACTCTAACCCTCTGGAACCATAAGCTAAAGGAAACTTTTCTAGAGGCTATCTTGGTCATGGCATTTTATCACAGCCACAATAGAGTAACTACTATAACAGATTTATCTTATTATTGGGAGGTCTATCCTGAGCTCTCTCCCCATTTGTATTATTGAAGGCAGCCGAGGCAGGGACCACTGGCTGGTTACATTTTAGCTACTTGTCCAGTCTACTTTGGCAGAAATGGTGGCATTAGCAGTGACTGGCTTAGTGCTAAGACATCCTTGCTCCTTTTTCTGCCCACCCCAGGTCACCCAGCTCCATCAACCTCCTCAGCTGGAGAGCGAAGAAGGGCTGAAAGGAAAGCTACAGCTTTGATCCTCTACAGAGGCGGGCCTCTTTCTCTGCCCACACGACTAAGGGTCACCGAGAAGCAGCCCGAGAGCTGACCTCAGCCAGGACCCACAGGCCTAGTGACCTGCTTTGAAGAGTTGCTCAAAGCCAAGGACAATGAAAGGGGTCTGGGACTTGTTCTCTGTGTAGACGTCCGCATGCAGCAGCCCTCGACCCTGTTCTAATGACTTCTGTCTCGGGAGGACAAGATAATCCCGCCATCAAGCCAATTTTATGAGCACCTCGATCTGCACATCTTCTCCTCTGACCCGAGCCTCTGTAGGGATGGGGCCGTCTCTGCTTGCATTCTTAACCCTGTTTTATTCCCCGTGCAGAAAAAGATAAGCCTCCTTGTGGGAAAGCAGCTGCTTTGGATCAGGTTAGAAGCAGTAAATCTGGAAACAAACATAACATGAATGAAATGGTATCAGGACACGATGTGATGATGAAAAGCCCAGGCTTTTGGCTCTTGCTGCAGTCAGCTCGGTTTCGTGTTTCATTCACACGGACTTCACACTGTTCTGTGATTAAAAATTTTCATCGCCTGATTCAGTAATTCACAAAAGATCCTTTCATCAATGCCACATACAATTTCGATCATCCTAAAATTTCCATGGGTAATTGTTTTGATTTATAACAATTTATATAATACCAAGTTATTCTCTATAGCTAATTTTTATTTATTCATTCCACCTTGACTTAAATACTAACTATTCATTTTAAGTATTTATTTATTGACTTCAGTATCAAATATAAACAGTGTTTTTAGCACACTTGTTTCAATGTTTGACCTGTACACATATGTCCTATGGTACACATGTGTAACTGATCACCATCCACCAGCTTTGGTGATGCTTTGCTCTCTCAGATATAGTTTAGAAAGCTGGCTTTTATTCAGGCTCCATTACTGCCACATTTAAAAAAAATGTAATTGTTTCTACTTCCTTTGAGTACACGGATCACAGTATGTGATAGTTTTATAATATCTGATCGGTCATCAAATATGATATAAGAAATTAATGAGAAATTAATATGATATGAGAAATTAATATAATGAGAATTATAATTATCTATGTTATTATATTTATAAAATTTATGAGTATCCATTATAATTATCCATCTTTCCTTTTACTTATTTTAGTCTATTCTTTTTTTTTAATAGAATTCCAAGTTTTCTTCTGGTAATATAGAGAACATTCTTTAGCCATTCTTTGCTAGCAACAGATCTGCCGAGTAGTCCTTCATCTGAGGATATCTTTATTGATGAAGACAATATTGTTGAATGCAGAATCCAAAATTGGCAATTATTTGTGTTCCCCTCCAGTATTTAAAAAAAATTATTAAAAATTGCTCTTTCCTCTCTGTTAAGATGAGAAAACTCACTTTCTCTGGGTGCTGTCAATGAGATGATTTTCTTCATCTTTATTCTTCATCTTTAAGTGGGATATGCTTTCGTCCGGTTCTTTTGTTCGGGGTTCAGCTAATCTTTTCAATGAACACAGTTTTTACTTTATACACTCATCATTTTTCAGTCATTTTCTCTGATCTCTTCCCAAGACGACAATGGTGTGAGCTCCTATTCTGCATCTTAGGGCGGGTGGGTGGGCGGGCGGGGCTCTTGAGACTGTCTATTCCATCTATTCCGTTTTCTTTCTTTTGTTTGGACAGATCTCCCCAGCTCACTGCTTCATGCTATCGTCTCCACTCCATAGTCAAACCACTCAGCTTGTGTCTTCTTTTATTTCCTATGGCTGTCGTTTCTGTTTCTCTGCTGGAATTTCCTATGTTTTTGCTTGATTCAGGAGAATTCATAATTGTTCATTAGATTAATTTCACGATGACTCCTTAAAATCCTATAAAATATTTCTAACATCTAATTCATTCCAAAAAGTGCATCTGCTAGTTATTTTTTCTCATTCAAGTTGTGGTTGTTTTAATTCTTGGGATGATCACTGATTTTTTTTTTTTTTATGTCATGGTTTATTTTTTTTTTCTTTCTTCGAGACAGGGGGTTTCTCTGTGTAGTTTTGGTGCCTGTCCTGGATCTTGCTCTGTAGACCAGGCTGGCCTCAAACTCCAAGAGATCCTCCTGGCTCTGCCTCCTGAGTGCTGGGATTAAAGGCTTGCGTCACCACCGCCCAGCATGTCATGGGATTTTTAAATAAAACTGTTGATCTTATTTAGTCTTCTTTATTCAACAGGCATAACATGAACACAGGTGTATGTGTAAGTAGAGCATCATGATGGAACCTGTTGACAGCAGGCCAGCAAAATTAGATACTTATTCATGCTGCTTTCTTGCAGCAAAGGAGAGTGAGTAAGACTTCAGGTTCAGCCTCAATCCAGTGAAACTCTCAGAGCAGGCAGACAGGCAGGCATGGCCGATTTGTCTTCATGCTGTGTAAAGTTTTTTTCAGGCTTTTGTTGACACCAAAAAAAAAAAAAAAAAAAAAAAAAAAAAAAAAAAAAAGACAGGGAAGGGTCAAGAACCCAGCCTCCCGCTAGCCACCTTCACAGATGCGTGGGAGGCTTTAGATCAAACCTCACAGAGGGAAGAATTATGGAGCCAGGTGATACATCAGCCTGGAGTCACACCACACCTGCTTCACCGATATGTGATGGGGAATGGAAGATAACCACGCCACTCAACCCCACTATCACTGCCAGGGCTAGCATCCTTGGAGGGCAGAGAGCTGCTGACAAAACACGAGATACTCTGGGGGAACTGAGGCATGCTGGCCAAAAAGGCTATTCCCTTTGGAACATCACTATGTGATAACTACTGAAATATTCTTCCTTCGACCCTAAATAAAAGGAGAGAAAAAACATGTTGGTTCTCTAGGAGATGGAAATGAGCAGAGCGAAGTGGTGGGAAACCAGTATGGCCCCAAGAGAAGAGAACTCTCACCTTCCAGGGACAACCATAAGTTCCTGGCTTTGGTATGGCACTGGCCGTGGTAGGTTGATGTTGGAATCGAATGAGATAACGTTCAGGAACAACTGGACACCAGCGTTATGTGTCTTCCACGCTTTGCTGTCTGTCTGGTTTCCTCTCTGTTGCTGACTTCTCACTGTGTATTACTGTGCCAGATCTCCGATGGTCATTGCTATTGGGAGTTTTTAGTTTGAATACACAACTCCCGGTACGGTCAGAAGCTTCCACCTCGTGTTAGAAACATCCATTTACAACTGGGATGGTTTGTGGTAGCATTTTAACTCCAGGGTTTGAGGCCCCAAACCTTGGAGCTATCCACTACTCACCTGTCTTTTAGAGCCCACATCCAGCATCAACTGTGACTGTGGTATCATTTCCAAAATCCACTTGGAGACTGGCTACTCTCCCATTATCTTATCGCTCCAATTTGGCATAGCCATTACCATCTATTTTTTGAATATTACTCCTAAATATTCATTTTGTTTCCTCTACGCCCTTCAGTCAGTCCAGTTTCAACACACTTATTTGAAGTGCTTCTTACCCTATGTCTTATGATTCACATTGTGTTCAAAATCCATTTGCCGTTCTTCCCTCAGAAGAAACATCAAAGTCTTTACAGTGGCGATGGAGACTCTCCGCTGTCTGGATTATTGTTCCATCTCATCCTTTCTTAAGACTAAACCTCCCTGGAGCCAGCTGCAGTTGTCCATAAGCTGATCCAGTATTTCTGCGAGCATGAAGTGGTACCCAGTTATCTCAGAGCATTTGTGTTTGATTTCATTGGTCTAGAATGTGCCATGGGGCACCACTTCTTTTAAGTGGCTCTGTCTCCATAAGGCTATCCCTGACCCCATTGTTTTAAATTGCAACAGTCCACTCTATTGTACTCTGAAAGTACTTAATAGCTCAATTCCCTCAAGTATCTAAGTGGACTCTGAATGCTGTCACTCAAGGTTGTCGGTATTGAATTGACCA